TAGGTCATACCGAGTGGTCCCATGCCCTGCGTAAAGCCCTTGGATGTGTTTGTCGGGCAAGTCACGTCAAATGATCAAAGAAGTAAGCAAGTGCACGATCTCCGTGTCTCGTGCGACCCTTAGAAGCGACAGACCCCTTAAAAAATTACGCCCTCTTTAGGTCATACTAAAGTGACGCAAAGTGGCGTGCGCAGAGAAACACAAAAACACCATACATTTGGCAACTTTATAAGTTATAAGTTACATTGGAGGGATTGTATGGAATTGATAGACTTGCCATTTTTATGGTGACTTTTCCGCACGCCCCTTTGTAGTATTTTCACATCAACCGTAAAAGGCGTAATTTATTAAGGGGCCTATTGACGGCGCGGCACTCAAATGCGACGTCACCGAAATGAGCGGCTATGGAGCGGCCCCTCAAATTGAACTGCTGTGTGGTACTCGCTCGGGATCTCGTCGTACTTGTCCCGCGCGTTCGCCAGCAGTGATTGCGGGCCCTTGTAAGATCATTGTATCCAGGTACTTAGGCTCACAGCGCTATAGTTTGACTTTGCTACTTCTTTCGCCCGCTTAGCATCTCGGTCATTTTCAGGCCCATCTTATGTTTGCAAAAAAAAAAGCATGCGCTAAGACGTATATCAACGTGAGAGCTCAGGTTATTTTACAACTAAGTATCTATATCTGTAACAATATATCAATTTTTTTCTCGTTCGGTGCGTGCGTGTGTGAACCAAAGCGCGTGTTGATGTTACTCTTGTGACAGTCGTAAATATGGTTATCCAAATCAGCTTTTTATTTGTACGGAATCGGGTAGCACAAAAAAGCAAGGGAACGCAAGTTCGGTGGGGTTGGGCTATGCGTGGTTTGCACCTAAGGTCCTTCAACCGTGCCGATGTGCATTCTACTTCTTTAAAAAAATGAAAGCCGTTTACAAATCCCTGTAACGCCGAATTGGAGCGCAGCTCTTGAGGAGGAGTAGGGAAGGGTACTGAGCGGGGTCACGTCACCTGATCTCGGGGAGGGGGGGTCACGTGACCTCGAAGGATCACGTGACTTCGGGAGGGGGGGGTCACGTGACCCCCCGAGCTCCTCCAGAGTCACGTGGCTCCTCCAGGCCACGTGACCTGGAGCGGTCACGTGACCCCTCCAGGTCACGTGACCTTGGGGTGACCTTGGGAGGGGTCACGTGACCCCGGGGGTCACGTGACCTTGGGGAGGGGGCCACGTGACCTTGGGGTGACCTTGGGGTCACGTGACCTTCAGGGGGTCACGTGGGGTCACCTTGGGGGTCACGTGACCTTGAGGTGACCTTAGGAGAGGTCACGTGACCTTGGGGTGACCTTGGGGGTCCCGTGACCTTGAGATGACCTTGGTTACGCCGACGGCGACGGCGACGCCGACGCCGCTCAAGCCGGAAACGGGCCCCTAAGAGCTGCGCTCTAAAAAATGCGCTCATACACTGTTTGCGCTGTAAAAGTTGCGTGCTCAGCAAAAAGGCCACCACAATGGCAGCTGGTGTGACGTCAGTGAAGGCCAAAGAAACACCCGGCATGTGCCCTCGGCTTTGCTCGCACTTAGTGTGAAATAGAGCGTTGAGTACATAGCCACTCTAGACACGCGTCAGATTACAGCCACCATTGCTGACTTTCTCTTGTCTCACCGAGATACCAAGCCACTGAAACGGGCAATGAAGAGCCTTCACAAAAGTCTATGCTGGAAAAAAGTACAAAGTAGAATTCTAACATTGCCATTATCTGACCTTCTATTGTAACGATGAAGTGAAGTATGGCGGCGATCATGGTGCCGAGAGATGTAAAAGTCCGTACAGTCAGCAAACATAAAAAATGGCATACGTGAATAACCTAGATGTATCATGCGGACTCTGCAAGCCATCAGAGTTAATCAAGCACTCAGGGGATGTGACTGTCCGGGTTTGCCTTGTGATTCCCGGAACTCTAGGTCAGGTGGTGCTGGATCGGCTGTCTCTGGAATAGCTCGCAGCATCGGCCACGTTCATATAGACGACTGCAAGCCGCCACCACAGACCAGCTAGTGCGGAAAATCGCTTGCAATTTCAAGCTTACCAAAGCTACGCTCATGCGCAAGATACACGTGGTTGCGCTCATGGGGCACCACTCGGGGCACCATGCTTGCAACAGTCTATAGACCTTTTTCGCTTACTCTCGTCCCCAGCCACCTGGCAGGCCTATCCGGCATGAGCGACGAAAAACTAATAAAGCATTTCCACCTGCAAATAGTGAAACAATTAAGGCAAGACAAAACGAGAATGGATGACGGTTGCACTTATATCCTAAATGTATTCTATTGGCATGGCGACGGCAAAACAATGTTTTTGCCCATACTGGATGTGACGATATTTCAAGATGTGAAATATCGTCACATCCTTTCAGGACTATAGACCCATTTCACCATGTGAAATGGGTCTATAGTCCTGAAAGTGAAAGGCAGGCGCACGGCAGCGCTAACGAGGCATTGCACGTTGCCCTGGCATCACTACGTACACGGATTGTCTCCAAACCATCCTCTAGACGGCGATTAACGCTCGTGGTTCTCCGGCAAAGGCAATCTCGGCCGCATCCGATCTCAAGCAAAAGGCACGTGCCGCGCGCCGTTTGCTTGAAACCCCTTTTTGTGGCCACGAAGCCGATGTCGTCCCGTAAAATAAGAGGCAATGAGTAAAGCTATTGGCGTCTGAGCACTCTCGCAGCTTAAGCGCGGCTTAAATCTGTACACGCGTGCAGTCTTCACTTTTCTTGAAATGACAGAAAGCAAGCTCGATTGGAGCCCCGGATCACTCTGCTTGGATCGCTCGCTGCCGTTGCTTGCAGCATCGGATTTCAAAGTGAAAGGATGGAACACGGGTTTGAGGAGGCATTGCGCATGGTCACAGTATCACTACGTCATACCATAGCCTCCTCTATACTCACAAAGCCTGGCAGTTCGACGACCGAGCCATAGAGTGCCCGGTCTCAGTTTTGGAGCGCGAAGGTCTGGTAGCACAAATCATCAAAGAGTCATTTCTCGGGGAACCTGAACGTCAGCGCACACCTTTTGCAGCGGCGAGGAACCGAAACAGACTTGTGCGCTCGGCAGAAGTGTGTTTCGGCGTCTCGCCGCAGCGGGCGCCAATCACATGGTTCTCCTCTCATCCGTTGTCTGCCGCTCCACCTTTTCCATTTCGGCGGCCGCTTCTCGTAGTGATGTGCCAGGCTTTGTCACTATATAGGAGGCTATGGTAGACGTAATTCTAGCTTCCTTCCTGTCCAAAATTAACGTAGTTTAACTTTCAAAGGTAGTTAAACGAGCGCTTATCGCACGCGATTCTCACGGAGCAAGAAAGCACCCGAATCCCAGTGGACGCGAGCGGACGCCGCATCTCAGTGTCGACAGCAGCGGCACCGCTGCATCCAGACCAGCTGCTCCCTCTGGCGTGCGCCAATGCCGACACCTCTCCTTCTTGCCATCTAGAGCCACTCAATGAGCTGCGCTTAGAATATCGGTACTCTTTCCCCGACATTGTTGTGGGCGCCACAATTCTGGTGCTTGTGCAGAGCAGACTCAACTTCCGATCGTCACGATCAAAAAGTGCGACTTCCTTAGCATGAGATTCGGTGAGGAAGGATCGATGGCCGAATGGGCCGCGTGCACCAGTTCGGAGCACGTGGAGCGAAAGCTCGCGCTGCAGAACACAGAAGCCTGGGTTCAATCCCAACCCCTGCCCGTTTCGATCTGGATGAGCATCGTACCGGCGTGAGGTCGTATATCACTACTGCGTGATGCAGCTTAAAGACACCAGGCTAGGGGTGTTACTTCAGTCGCTAAATTTCTCATCTACGGCTTGGATACTCGTTGCCCGTTGAAGCAGACCAAGTTCTAGGCTGTATAACCATGCAGACAAACCCAATTAGATTCGGTGTGAGGAAGCTCATGTATAGTGGTTTGCTCTGTCGCGAACTTCGTAAACATCTGTGGAGGACGGAAAAACGTTTCCTGTGATCTTAGATAAAGCTTCAGATAACTGAAAACTATGATTTAAGCCACAATTTAATCAAGTGACGTTACTTTGAGGAGTAGCTGATTTAGTGGCACTATACACTCTCAAGAAAAAAGGGTGTCAAAAGGTGTATTCTTACACCGTTTGTCCCATGTAATACACTCCCAAACTTCAATTCGACACACAGCACCCCACAGTCGAACAGACGGCCCGGAATTTTACGAGGGGCTTGATAGCCGTGTGGTACAACTTAATAAAATAGCTAATGTACGTTTTACTGAACACGAAAAATATAATCCGGGTTTTCTTGGCCCTACTGTAAAAACTCGGTGTTTTCTTTATGTGGTCTTGGATACGTATTTTAGCTATTTAAAATATTGTACCCCACGGTTATCAAGCCCCTCGTAAAGTTTCGGGACCAATGTTCGACTGTAGGTCGCTGTACGTTGAATTGAAATTCTGGGGTGTATTATATGGGACAAAGGGTGTAAGAATACACCTTTCGACACCCTTTTTTCTTGAGAGTGTAGCCACCGTAGCCGGGCAAACAAAATCTGGCTCGCCTAGATCGGCGGCAAACAGCCCAAGGCCCGAGCACGCCCCGACCGCCCGACTTGCACGCGCAGCGGCGAAAAACTCGTTTGTTCCGGAAACAAATTGCGCCATCTATGAGGGAAAGGCTAAAAATAAATTGCGAGCGAATCCCCCTTGAGACGAACATCACTAAGAATTTTAGAAACGCGCGGCATTGGCTGATGGAAAGGCCGAAGAGCAAATCATGCAGCAATAAGCATATAATGTCACAACCTGCGCTTCTTAAGATCTCAGTCACCGTTCATAGTTGAGGTTTTTTAAAGGTTGCAGACGCATGTCGTAGCTTAGTGTTACTCCTATGCGAGACAATTGTATTTTCATTTTGCCAGAATCACTTTTCTACCGCGAGTGGCGTGACCTGACCTTTTTCAAACTCTGTCCCCGCTCGCAGCTGGCCGTGACAGTGATCCAGGCAGAAGACCTGCCTGGGCTGGACATGTCCGGCACGTCCGACCCCTACGTCAAGGTCTACCTGTTGCCGGACAAAAAGAAGAAGTACGAGACCAAGGTCCACCGCAAGACCCTCAACCCTGTCTTCAACGAGACGTTCAACTTTAAGGTATCCTCGACATACTTTCTGAACTCCAAATTATTTGTTTTAAGTAGCGCACCGCAGCCGACGACCCGGGGAAGGCAATCAAGTAATACTAAAAGTTTAGTATTATACTTGATTTAGTATTACCACTTTGGGCGCTGCTTGAACACGGCTCCACTTGTCGTAGCGTCGGCTGCGGTCCACAAAGTTATTATAATGTACGCTAGAGGTTCAACTAGCGCTATAGTATGGTGTTGCAAATTGACGCAGACAGACACTTTTTTGTGCGTTTTCTCTCTTGCGCTCGATTATCAGAGCCAACATCAGGAATAATCCGCATCTACTAGTAGGCAGCCTGGAACATTTCTGTCAAGCAGACAAAATAATTGGTCGGTTACGGCATTTTTCTATAAATTGATCGCATAAGCGGCGCTAAAACGGCTTCGTACATGAATTTGAGTGCACTGTCGGACACGGTTTGCAGGAACAAGGCGTCGACGCTTTTCAGCATGAGGATATACGTGCCAAGCGAAAAAAAGGCATCTGAAAAACCGAGAGAGACGGGGAGAAGTGCGCAGTAACACTGGATCAGTAGCTGCCTGTGCATGTAGACAATCTAAATGAATTGAAGTCCACGTAATATAGTCCGATTGGCAATAAAGAATTATTGATTTATTCTTTCTGCTCGTGAATATGTGCGAAGATGCTTGTTCTGTATTCAAAGCATCACCCGCACGCTCAAGATCTTGAAAATAGGAAGACGCCAGACATAAAGTGCCGTTAAAAGCGCCCCGGTATGGGAAATAATAAAGTTAAACACTTTTCTTAACCCACGTAATTTCTGCCTTACATTTATACTGTTTTAACCGCTCGTAAAAACGCGCGATGGGGTCACTTTTATATTAACAAGACTAACGTATTAGCAATATATAACCGGCACCGGAATGCTGCCAAACCTTTAATATACTCTACAATCATTTCGATATTTATTTTGCTTAGACTCGACGCTCGTTTTTAGACACCTGCAATGGAACAGACGTTTGGACCTTAAATATAGCGAAGATTAACATCTTCACTGGTAAAGAAAAATACTGTAGCTAAATCAGTTAAACTTTTGCAATGATAATAAAGGTACATACTATCCGCTACAACCGAAATAACAAAAGTGATCTATATTCTTTTTTTTTTTGTTGCGAAGATAAAAAATCCAGGCGCGTTTTTTCGTAAGAATGCAGAGGAGCACGGTTAAAGTAGAAATGTTGCTACCTACTTAACAATAATAATAATAATAATGTTTACTTTTCTGGCGCCCCAAAACGAGCAGACGACCTTCTTTTGGGTGCACAAACGCAAACACGAAGCAGAAAAAGTAATCGCGCATATTCACACAAACCCAGTACGAAACAAAAAATAACTACAAAAAAAAACTATGATATGAGCACATGCTCATTCAGCTGATGGTGATACCTTGAATTAATAGTGAATATGTCCATGCGAGATGGCATAATGCTGTTATGTAGCGTCTGTATAGGAGAGAGTGGTAAAGGTAGATATGATGAACGAACATCGAAACAAATTAAATGCTTTGCAGGGCGAAAGCAAAACATAGAAATTGACTCCGCGAAGGAGCTGAGACGAATCTCCTAGTGACTATACCATTCACAGTCCTGTGCAGAAATGCTAAATTGGGGGCAGTCCTGCTTGATAAAAGCTTCGACGAAAAATGTGTTAGTAAATTTTCGTAATTATGATAAGCGCGCCGTCCAATTCGTCTGTCGTATAAAGTACGAATAAGACTTTTCTGCACATGTTCGACGGCTAGAGCCTGAGTTAGCCATAATGAATTCCAAACCACAAACGGGAATACAAGACTTGAAATAACTAAAGAATTAAAAAGCTGTTTCAAGCAGTGGGCGTTCGAAAATGCTTCGTCAACCGCGGTACGATTCCCTACACTCCCATTGAACGGCCCACTACAGAAGAAAAAGTCAAAACACAACCAATGAACACGCCAAGATTCCTAAAAAAAAAAAAACTCGTTCTATCGGATTTCTATTAAAATGATATGTAAAACCTAAGATATGCATGGCGTCTGCACGAGGACATCACTTATGTTTTCATAGGACTACGCAGCATGTGGTTATGATTACACCACTCTTAAATGCGTGCCAAATCATGCTGCATGGTATCACAGTTGATAAGATAATTTACACTTTCAAACACCTTAATTCCATCTGCAAATACAAGCAGCTCCGCATGTTTGACACATGACGCTATGTCATTTGCAACGTTAAAAACACAAAAAAGGACCCAAAATTGATCCTGGATGTACACCTGAAGTGGAAAACAAAATAAACGCTGAAAGTAACAGTCGACAACCCGAACAGTGTTTGAGCGAAAAGACGAATAGCTCCTGAATTAGTTACGTAATTGTCAAGAAACACTTTAAAAAAAAAATGTATGCAAGAGCAGTTTATGAATGACTTTATCAAATCCTTTTAACATATCAAAATGAATCGCATCCACCTAGCTGTACTCTATTCATAACAAAAGGCTTATAATAATCTAGAAAACGAACCCCGAAAGTCGCATAGACACTAGCGCCAGTCGAACTTCTAGCTTACATTATGATGACTCTAACCAGCGGTCTTATTTAATGTGAAATGGACTATGCGTACTTTCCAGCGTTGCGAGAAAACGCCACATGTCCGCTAAATTTGGCAGATGGTGCTTTCCCCTGCCAAATGTAGTGAATGCTGGTAAAGTGAAGTCATCAGTAGAATGGTGGTCGTATGATTGTTCTCGCCGCCACTTAGCGGACGTGATCACGTCCTCTAAAGGCGATTTTAGCGAGTTAGCGGAGTTTACGTGACATGGTCACGTGACCTTCCTCTGCTACATTTGGTGGGATCTCTCACTTAGCAAGTTTTGTGGATCTCGTTGAATTGGTAGATGAGAATCTTTGGTTTCCACTACCCACCAGGGTTTTTTCGCGGGTAGCACGCCTCATTCACATTGACTGGCCTAAGTGCCCATGTGACAATAGCGACGTCGTCGTAAGTTGCGGTATCAGTTTCGGGACACCCACGACTGCCTCTATATTTCCTTTTTTTAACTACATCGCCTACCACAACTACAACGTACATAAGTAACTGTACCGAAATTTACTGACCAGAAAAACGCATTGCACGTGTGACTATACTGTCAGGTGTAGCTTAGTAGAGTCAATTTTATTTTTTACTCAGGAAACCACCATTTCGCAACGTACCGCACTAATAGGCGACCTCTAGAGATTTTTGCGTCGACGTATTTTACCTTCTAATCGCCTAAAATTTAAATACTTTTTTTTTCAATACCGTACCGTAGTCATACGCCGTTGTGCAACAATGTTTGAACAGTCGCTTTTTACATGAGTGAAAATAAACCCAGAGAAGAAAAATAGCTTAATGAAAACCGGCTTTAAATATCGCCGGTATATTAAGCCTTTTGTTTTATTCAGGCTCTTTCAAAAACGCGGAACCTAAAAAAAATTTAAAATAATTGCACGCATAAGCTATACGTATGTCACAAGATGCACTTTTCTTGAAACGGAAAGATTCTCACGCAATATTTATCTCGCGATGGATATCTTTGGATGAAAGAGATTTTGTTCGCTCGGTCGAGATGGCTCAAACGGGGCTTATATTTCGAGGTCAGCGCCCCAGTCACGTCGCAATACGGAGAGAAACTAAGGGAGAGGAGGATCTATAAGGGCGGGCGGAGACATCAGTGCGTCCAGCTCCGATTGATTGAAAGGATCGTGGGTATAGAAAAAAAGGCTGGCTGGTTTCTTCTCTGCTCACCGTTTGAACGCGTACGAACGCCGAACGCCGGCTTCCGGCGTTTGAACTCGAGGCACAGCTCGAGGAGCAGACGTCGCTCTTCTTCGCTACAGTCTAAAAAAGTCTGGTCGTATAAGAACGCTTAGGGGTTCTTCGGCTCGTCTATATTTTGAGCCCTAAGACGTCTTTTTAAGCACCCCCTAAAATAGTGCTTCAAAAAGTTCCTATAAAATTTTATCACTTTTTTTTATGCTAAAGAGTTCTTCATCACCCAGTTGCCATTCTAGTGCGCCAGGGGGTCGATAGTGCTTGAGGCAAAACCATCCTTCATGAGCTGAAAGAGTTCTAGCGGTGTCAAAGAATCTTTGGATTTTTTCTAGAGTATACGATTGCAGGGATGTAGTGGTTAGAGGCAGTATGCCTTTGGGTTCACCCAACAATCATTCCAATCAGATTAAAACGCTCTGACGCTCCCGCATACTCTCACCTTCTTCTCTCCTCAAGTGTCCCTTCGTAAAAGAGCAACTTTGTATCAATGGAGCGAGGGACCACAGAGAAGATAGGCTCCTGGTCGCACGTAGTGTCGCTTGCTCTCAACACTTTTTAAATAACGAAGTTGATTTTTTCGCGTTACCTAAGCAAGGCCGGAGTCCTCGTTAGTCCTTGATTGGACCCGAGTGATGCGTCAGCGCTCGGCTGGGACTCGTGCTTAGTCAGCGAGAGCACGAGTCTTAGCCGAACGATGACGCAGTACTCGTGCCCCATCTGCACCCGGCCTTGAACTTCTTTTAGGTGACGCAACCATAGGAGGAGAGTACCAACACAATCGGTTGTCTCCTTCGCACGCTGCGAATATGCGCGCCCGAAACATTGTCAGGTGGACAAATCTTCAAATAGTTTGAACCGTTGAAAACAATGTGCGGTCCACCGACATGTCATCGATATACGAGAAACGTGTCCCTAACATCTGGCTCGATTTCTGCTCATACTAGGTAGAAGGGGAGAATTTTACGAGGATTGTGCGCAAATAAGACAAAGAACAGAGTAAGCTCAACTTCATCTGATACGTCAGGTGTACACCAGGTGGCAGCTCTCACGTCACGCCGCTGTGGTGGCGGTGCTGTCGACGCCGCGCATGTGCAGACGCCTTCCTTCGCGTGAATCATGTTTCTGCTCAAGCGATGCAGTGTCCACACCTGTTGCGGTTGAACGCGGGCTAGTTTGTACCCAAGCAGCACAGATTTGGCTAATCATTGGCCAATACCTCACCGTGGTCATTTGGCCAGTGGCCACATAATGGCCCGACATTGGCCGGTGAATAGCCTTTCTCTGGCCGTTGACCAATGGCCACTGACCATCAGCCATCGGCCTAGCATTGGCCATTGGCCAAAAGACTATCGCCAGCCAATGGCCAATGCTTGGCCCAAATCGGTGCTGCTTGGGCAATCAGCGTGTTTGTCTACAAATATTTCTGGCAGGCGTCGTGCGATTCTTCGTCGCGAGACAACTATACGCGGAAGAAAAGACACTATCCTTCCCGCAAGTAACCGCAGCTTCGCGTCCGTTAGTTTGGCCGACTTCACGGACATGTTGCTCGGTATTTACTTATCGGCTCATCGCGTGCGCAGGTTCCCTACGCCGAGATCACCTCCAAAACGCTGGTGTTCGCAATTTTCGACTTCGACCGCTTCTCCAAGCACGACCAGATCGGAGAGGTGAAGGTGCCCATGAATACCATCGACCTCGCGCAGACCATCGAGGAGTGGAGGGACCTGACAGGCGTCGAAGGAGAACAAGGACAGGTGGGTGTTCGGCCACGTGTCCGCCACGTGGGCGTCTGGGTGTCTTGTCTGACGTGTCCTTACTGTGTCCGTGACGTCTCGTTGCCGAAAACGGTCTCCCGCTCGTCTTCGTTTCGGTTCTTTCGGATCGTGATCGTCCTTGGTTTCAAACTGCCACGCCGTGATTTTCGAGCTTTCGAACTACCAAGATTTTAAGATATTTTGTGATCGACAGAAAATAGATAACCTTTTCTTTTTTTTTCTTATTCGGCAATGAAGATATTAGTTACAGTTTAACAGAGGTATGATTAACAAGAAGCCGTTTGCCCGCTATTTTCAAACTCGGCAGCTGAGGTATTCGTCCTGGTCTCGGACAAGTGAGATGAACAGAGAATAAATATCCCGCATTTGTTCTTATACTCGGCGCTTAAAGTATTTGCCTCAGTTTCTCAAAAATGTAAAAAAACAAAAACAACTAGCCCCCTATTTTAAAATTTGGCAGCGGAGGTATTCGCCCAGTTTTGCACAAGTGTAATCAACAGGCAATAATCAATCGATTTTAGAAGTTGAAATTTTTCTTACCAAGATAAGCAAAAGCATGAAGTACAGTGGCGGAGATGACGTCAGTCTTACTCTTTTGTTTATTTTTATTGTACTTCCTCAACGCCTTCGAGCAATTTGTTATAGCGGAACCATTTGTGTTCTTATTAATCATTCTTTCATTTGGAGGTTACAGTATACTATACAAAATGTTTTTTTTTTCTTTTTTTTAGCTGCATTAAATGTTCAAAAAAAGGCCACGTGAGATAGAGTAATTTGAGTCCTGGGGAAGTGTTAGTGGCCATGGTGGCCTCTAGAAAAAGTTGAAATTAGGTAATTAGCTAATTAACAAAAATGTTTTAATTAACTTTTTAATTTTTCACTTGAGGGTACATAGTGTATTTAGAGGATTGAAGATCGGCCACAGTGTGCTCTAGCCGTGTCGTCAAATATAGATAAAAAAAATTCCTAGTAGGCGCTATGGGTCGAGAAATGTCACTTTAGTGAATGGCGTCAAACCGATACTTAACAGGAAATAGTGCCGGTAAAGTTATCGCTCCGACCTTCCGGGCACGCGATTTGTCATTATCGCGGCTGGCTCGCCTAAGCAAGTGGAACCGGCTGTGATAATGACGAATCATATGCCCGGAAGGGCGGAGCGATAACTCTACAGGCGCTCTTTCGTGTTTAGTTTCGGTTCGACGCTATTTATCAAAGTGACATTTCTCGACCCCGTAGCACCTACTAGAAATTTTTATATCCAAATTGGAGGACACGGCTAGACCATACTGTGGCCGATCTTCAATCCTGTAGATGCATTAGGTGCCCTCAAGTGAAAAATTAAAAAAAAGTTAGTTAAAACATTTTAGTAAATTACCAAACTAATTACCCAATTTCACCTTTTTTCTAGAGGCCGCCATGGCCGCTAACACTTCCCCAGGGCTCAAATTACTCTATCTCACGTTCCCTTTTTTTTTTTTAATTTTGTGCAGCTAAAAAAAAACATCCTGTATAGGACTGTCGGGGGTTATTGTCAATGTTATTGCTAAACATCACATTACTCGCAGCTTTCTAGAATTGTTCCTACATAACCATTTTACGAAGGCTATTAAGGATATATTTTGATATTAGCGCCGTCCAGAAATGAGACGACTATCCCAAAGCACGAGCCATTTCTTGCGTGGCGCGCCGTTCTTCTTCCGGGCAGGCGTACCCGCCAGATGGATATTAAACGCCACTTTTAAACCATCACTGGTCCCCCTTCTCTATGTAGCGGCTGAAACACTAGTATCAAAACACATTTGTCCTACCACAAATAGGCTCTTTCTTGTCATTTGAATTTCTACTCAAATATCGATAAGTCAACATAATTCTTCAGCCTTACTATAACAATTCATCTGTTATAAGCCTGAGGCCATTTTATCGCGCAGTTGTAAAGTATAACTTCTGCCTCTAATTTTCACACTACGTTACACCAAGATATTTTGTATCTGAGTCCTTTTTGCACTTAGTTAGCTTCGTGGTACTCTCTACCGCGAACATACCTAGTTGACACATTCCTGCATAAAATTATCTTCACATATAAGGCAGGAAGATTTATGCAAAAATCAAGAAAGAAAGTGTGTGTTACTTAGCTTACTCACGTAGTGCAGAAAAAAGACAGAGGTCGACATGTTAAACTTCCAAAAACATAAGTTAATAAAAGATGTCATATAGTACTATAGAAAGAATCACTCAACTACTGTAAAAACAAAATGACCGGTAACAAATCAAATACAATCGATTATAAACCGCATACAAATATCTTGTTATACGTATAACGAGTAGTAATTTACCATTTGAATCGATATATTAAACATTACCTAATTTTGTTAATACCTCTATTTCTTTTAAGTTCTTGCTTCTACGTTAGCGTAACCCGCAGAACAATCAGCTAGTAAACTTTTCTGTTTATCTCATTGAAATATTTGGGGAGAAATTAGAGTAGGTTTAAACCTATTTTATGTTTATACAATCCGTGGCTCCATATCAGATTTAAAGAAATGTTCTAGTAGGAATCCAACTTAGTAGCAGTTGTATATGTTTCGTCGACTGAAGTAACCTTTTGTTCATTGGTAAGCTCGAGTGAAACGAGGTTACAAGGCGTAAATATATTTAACTTGCTTAACAAATTTTGCTATGAGATTAATCTTCTAATTCGTTTTCCTAATAAATATGTTTCTTTGATTCCAGTACTTTTCGCGCCGCATTAAAATGACACATAATACACCTTTGAGTTCTCATTCCGTTATTCAGGTTGGTGTGCAATAATGCACGTTGCTGCGTGCTTAGTAATATATCTACCGATCACAAACACAAGTACAAAACAATTCAGAAAGAAGTAATTATGGTTTGTAATTAGAAATACACTTTAATTTCATATTTGCACAGTATACCTATACAATCCTAATATAATTGTAATAATGTATGTGCGTGTCGCTTTTATATTCGTATTATATTCCTTCTTAGGCTTTATTGTCAGTATAGCGATATGACTAATTTATGATATAAGCGTTTATTTAGGCATGCCACATGGAAAATACTAAGCTCTTCATAATTTAACTTTTAGCTAGATACAAAAACCGACATATGGTACTGGTTTCATGAGATGCCCACAAATTACAGTTGTGTTCTATTGGAGAAAAATTATGCTGGAAATGAGGCGTTAATACGACTTCGTGCCTCCTCTTTTCAGAAAATTGAAAGGCATTCAGTGTTAAACTCTAGATGTACTGATCAGAGTCGGCAATGTGTAGGATAATTTAGATCTATAGCACCTCCACAAGAAAAGTTTCGGTCTAAACTCAGCTCGAAATGCATAGATAATTTTTGTGCAACTCTTTCACCCTGTTAACTAACACAGATGTGTCTCAGCAGGATCACTTCGTTCTCAAGAGAAAGCAACAATTGTCATAACATAATATTTTCAAATATACTACTATATTACTTTATTACTTTGACAATACAACGGAACTGCTCTATTGCACCTGTTTTATTCCTATAAAATTCGTTTTTGGTAAAACGAGTAAGTGAATACTTGGAAGGGGAAGACGTTGCGTGAAAATAATCGACTCAGCCTATGATACAGAATCAAATAAAAAATGTTGAACCTTAAAAACAAATAGCAAAAGCAAACAATGAACATATAATGGGATTTTCGAAGTCACGTTTGTTAAGTGTGCTTAATCAACAAATTAGCCGAGGCCTCTTTTTATGTAGGAAAAATGCCAGACTCTATATCAAATTTTAAAAACTTTTATTTTTTTATTTTATTATTAGTATTAATTGTTTCTTCTTCTTTTTTTCTTTTTTTTAGAAAGGTTCAGTGCGAAACATATGTACCACGAAACCGTCCGATCCGACGTCCGATCAGGGGATACGACGGTCGGAGGCGAGGGTTTTCAACGCTCTCCAGTGCTACGGAAACCCTCGCCCCCAAGGCCATTCCGGCAGTCCGCGAGTCGGATCGGACGTTTTCGTCGTACACGCGTTTCGCGCTTTAAGGATAGGGAAATCAAGACGCATAAAAGCACACGAGAGAACGATTTATACCTCATCAGTGCTCCGCTGCCAAGGGCTATTTCTTTTCTTTTACCTCCAAATTTATTCTATTTTTCATACAAATATTTTTCACACCAACATGTCAGTGTTTTATACCTAGCAATTTTGTATATTTTGTTGTCGAGTAAGCACATATCGAATAAAATTACTTCCAACCTACCGTGAAGGCTACGTACCGCGAAGTTTTGAAGATATAAAGCGTATCTTGAATTTTCACCTACACTTTGTATATTCTTCAGTTGAAACTCCAAAGTACATCTTCCAACTTAGCTGTGACTAACGTACTTTCGTCCCCTGCTGAAAACGCACAATAGCAGGAGGTCGATACCTATTCCAACCCGACACCATGACCTGGATCGTTCCGGTTGGCATTACCACTCAACTTTTTCTTATCTCCCAAATCTCTGCATGAACTGCACGGTGGATTGTAATCATGATGCTCCTTTCTCGAGGCTTATGTCTTCTTTTTATATTGTTGCATGAGCACTCGCTGACCGCATGTATTTTACTTGAATGCTCATCTGTCTTTCTCAAACACGTTTATGTTCACTGTATTTCTTTCACAGGAGTCTGCCTGGGTGGTATAGAACCGTCGTGTGCTTAGCACCGTCGTACGAGACACATGTTGTACTCTTTTTGTTCGATGTGTTTTGTGGTGTTCAATCTAGTTGCACACTGATTGGTGGCCGCCACTCTGAAGAAAAAATAAACGTTGTGTGCTATACGTTTCTTGAAAGGACATTTTAGTTGAATGGTCACTGTACTGGACAAATTCATCTCGGATGGCGATCAAAACCGAAGTTGGAGTTGTGTTAGTTTAGGTGAGCACGATGTCATATAAGGAACGCGTCATTTTTTGCGAAGCGACGCTCAGTTAAACT